GAGTTGTTATATTTGTGAGGAATAATGCACTAAAACGTAATATATTTGTTTTAGCTTGCTATGTATAGGGATGATATAGGATCTTTCGGAACTAGACTTGTCAGGAATTCTCAAACTATGATGGATCCAGGTTATCCCCTCGCTAATATTTTGTTCATTTATATATTTAATCTTATGAATTGTTCTTGCCCTTACAATGTTTTTTGCATTTTAATCCAACTGAATGGTGGGAGATATATGGTACTAATGGACTTCACTTAAAGAGGATAGCAATCAAGGTGCTCTCCTAGACATGTTCTGCTACTGGCAGTGAGCGCAACTGGAGTACGTTCCAATGGTTGCACACTACTAGGAGGAATCGACTCGCTTCTGAGAAGCTTCATAAACTAGTCTACGTTCATTATAATTTAAACCTCAGAGAGCGACCAATAAAAAGGAAGCTTGAAGACTATGGGCCGATAGACTTAGACACAATATTTGTCACAGACACAGCAGACCAATGGGTAGTAGAAGAGGAGGAGCCAGTGTTGCACAAGAGAACGTTCCTTGAGGCTATCAGTGATGAAGATCTTAAAGAAAGTGATGAGCAACATGAAAGAGGAAGCAGCCAGCCAACGTATCCACAATTCGTCGGAGATGTCAGTGATATTGCACCTAATGAAGGAGAGTGAGAAGGGGGTCTAAGAGAAAATGAGAAAGATGATGATTCTGAGGCCACCCTATCCCAGCCATATTATTCACATATCGAGTCCCAACAGCAACAGTGTAGTGATGAGGACGACAGTGCAGGTGAGCATGAAGGATGGACAAGCTTCGGGGATTTTGGATTAAGAACATAACAAAACATTAACACTCGGGGATTTGGGAATAGTCAGACGCCTGTTAATATCGATGATTCGTTTTTAGATCGAATAATTGAATTGTCAAACGAATTCAATCAATGGTAGCGTGACCAAAAAGAATAACAACGTCGTCTATCATTTTATTTTTAGATCGTATGTTACTAATTTTATGCTTT